GCTCGTACACACGCTCGAGACCACCGACGATCAGCATCTTCAGGTACAGCTCGGGAGCAACACGCATGAACAGGTTCATGTCGAGGTCGTTGTGGTGAGTAACGAAGGGCTTGGCGGTGGCACCACCAGCGATGGCGTTCATCATGGGGGTCTCAACTTCGACGAAGTCGCGGTTGTCGAAGAAGTTGCGGATGTAGCGCACGATCTTGGAACGAGTGACGAAGACGTTACGGGACTTGTCGTTCATGATCAAGTCCAGGTAGCGCTGGCGGAAGCGCTGCTCCTTGTCCTGCAGACCGAAGTGCTCGGACGGGATGGCGTGCAAGCAGGGAGAAAGAAGGACCACCTCCGTAGCGAAGATGGACAGCTCACCGTCGGCACGGTTCTTGGGGCTGGTACGACCGGGGAAACCGACAATACCGACAATGTCACCACGGCGGAGGTGCTCGTGCTGAGCCTCGAAAGGCACGTCGCTAGTGGCGTGCTGAGCCTGAGCGACGACCTGGACCTTGACGCCCTCAGCGCGGATATCGTAGAAGATCAGCTTGGCGCCGGAAGCACGCTTGGTGTAGATACGACCGGCGATGCGGACGGCGACCTCAGGCTTCTGCTCGCCCTTGGCGAGACCCTCGTAATCGGTGAGGTACTTGCGCAGATCATCGGTGACCTGGAACTTGTGGGGGTAGGGGTCGGGGTTCTTGGTCTCGCGCAGCTTGTTGATTCTCTTGCTGCGGATCTCGAAGTATTGCTGTACAGAAATGAGCGGGGATGTTAGCAGAGATGCGACAATGGATCCCCCGACAGCACACAAAGAAGCGCCCCCCAGCGACGAATGGGCGAAAAATGACTCACGTTAGGGGTGAGGTTGGCCTCCTCATCCTCGGCGGAGGTCTTCTTCTCGGCCTTGGGAGGAGCAGCGGCCTCCTTCTCCTTCTTCTTAGCCTCCTTCTCACGGTTCTTCTGGCGTCTCTTCAACTCGGACTTGGAGACCTTTTCGCCGGTCACCTCATCGAGGAGGAGGTTGGCCATGGAGGCCTCGGCCTCCTTAACAGCGTTGTTATCAGCCATGGTGATGGACGGGGGTAATTGCTCAGTCTCAATCACCGTGGGAACAAGACGATGAGAAGGGAAAGAAAGGTAAGTGGAGGGATCGATCGATGACACACAAGATGGTGGGCTGAAGTCGGAGGGAGCGAGAATTTTGGGCGGGAGTCGCCGCCCGCGATCCTCATTGGGCACCGCGAGGGGCAGCTTCCCCCCCGCCCAGCCAATCCTTAAGTAATCGTCTGTTCTTTGGACTCGGCCTCCTGTTTATCACCATTGCGGAAATCTAGCAAAAAGTACCGAGTATCCCCATTGATTTGCATTCTAGAGCTATTAATCCTTCTAACTGACATCTCTCCTTTTCCATTGGTTACACGCTGCCATACACCATTCGAGTCTATCGCAAGCAGGGTTTAGGGCTTAGGGCACCAAAGTGGGGTTCCCTACCCCGCCTCGATGCTTGCGGTCAATCCATCCATCATCCATCCCCATTCCAGCTTCAACTGCATACTTTTCCAACATGGCCACTCGTAAAATCCGGTCACCAGCCTAACACATGTAATCGCCAAAGTAGATTCTGTTGTAGCCACGCACTGTGGACAGGAAGAGGCTCACACAACGCTCGCCAAGCCGCAATTAAGTGGTCCAATCGTCAGGAGGCTGTGACTTAATCCTCACATTCTCGAATGGGTCTTCCTGGTCATCCTCCTTCCTCGCTAGGTTTAGCCACTCCTGGGCCTTATCAATTCGCTCCTTTTCTCTGAGAAGGAATTGACGGCGTCTCTGGCGGTCCGGGTCCTCCTCCATCAGCTCAAGACATCGTTCCAATGCTGAAGGCAAGGAATTGTCTTAGTATCTAATTCCTGATAAAATGGGTGAAACATACCGTTTTCATCCAAGATGCAAAGCTCTCTTTCGATCTCCTTGATGAGGTCATCACGACATTTTGCGAACAATTTAGTGTGCACGCTCTGGCAAATTGAATCAATGAACCGCGAACTCGCCAAGTCGTAGTACCCGCGACTTGTCTAGCCAGGGCAGTTAGGTCTTACTCAAATTTTGGCACGAGATCGACTTACCGCCATCATGGTCAGCTCCTGCGAGAACTGGTCGCGCCCCAGCTCGGCATCTGTAAGCTTTCTGAGCTCAGCTTCACGTCGGGCGTCTCCTCTAGGGTACTTTCCCTGAGCATCAAGGTAGGACCCAGCACGAGCAAAACGCCGCCTCTCCGCAAGAAAGCTGTAAGCAGACTTGATTGACTGGTCCAATGCCGAAAGTGCCATTGTAAATGGTTTGTTATACTCAATGCTGAAGTTTTCCTGCGCATGCTCGAAATGAGCAGCTCGTAGCTTATACAAAAAGCTCTCAATGATTCGCTTGAGTTCTCGATAGAGACCCGTCTGATGATATTGCAGAAAGACTTCATTTAGCTGCTTGTGCAGCATCTCCCGGACAAGGCGATAGGTGGCAATCAGGAACACTGACAGGGGGTCGTACCAGTGCTTCACGCTCATCTGGTTCATGATCTCAATGGCTTTCGGGTCCGTCTGATCCGGCAGTCCAGCTCGATACGAATCCTCGTTTATTTCGCGAATCATCTCCCATGTAAACGTCAGGGCCGGAGCGTTGAATTTGGCGAAATGGTCTGTCCAGTACAATCCATTTCTGGTCCCGGTTGTAGCTGGATTTGGCTGTTGTCTCGCTTCTGGTACGCTTGAGATATTTCCAGGCTCCCCTGGTGACTTGCGTTTGACTGGCTGCGGGACCGTTGTCATCTCACAGTCTGAATCGCTCCCCTCTGCATCGCGGTCCGTCGGGCCAGGGAACTTATCACTTGGAGAGAGCATTCTCACAGTGGGCCGAGTCGTAATCAGGGCTCGTTTGAAATCCATGGCAATATGCGACCATAACTTCGGCATGGGGTAAGTTGCTGACCCACCATCAATATGAGCGCGAATTTGCTCCTTCAGCTGGTTTAACTTTCCACAAATAATATATGGTACATTCGCAGAGGGCGGGTCTGGGAGAGTCCGGAGCTCATCCTCAATTCTCTCTGCTTTGGCATTAATCTCCTTAATAAAATCCGGTAGGCATCCTTGAATCTGCTCAAGAAGCAGCGAGGAGAGTGTCGCCTGTAAATTTCGGGTCCCGAACTTGTCTCGATAAAGAGCCAGATCAGTGGCCCAGGGCTCTCCCGCGAAGAAGGCTTCTTCCTCTTCTCGAGCGACGGAGTGCTCGACCGCGGGGTCGGGATTGTTACGAACAACAAAGTACCCGTGGCCAAGCGAGAACTTGTCTCCTTCGAGTATTTCAATCCATTGAGCATAAGATTCTCCTGTCTGAATGCGATCGGGCTTTGTCAGAACACCCATTGCCCTTGCGTTCGCTCCAGAGGTGGTTTGCACGATCCTTGCAGCGCTTGAATTTGTGGCATCATTCGTCATTGGCAACGTCAGCAAGACAATACAGTGCTTCTGCAAAATGTAGTGCTTGACAAGGTTCTCGACCAGATGAACAAGATAGCGTTCTCCTTCCTGTTCGGCTTGGCTGATGACACCGGGCAAGTCATAGAATGACAAGTTAGGAAATCCCGGTGCAGAAATATCCAAGCGCACGACGTTGGGTGAGAATTTTACTTGACAGTAATCAGGATCTGTTTCACTATTTTGCCCGGGCAAGTACTCGCTGGAAGGTCTGCCTGGGTTCAAAATGGCGAGCTGCGCCCATCTAATCACTTCGACGAGGTCGGGCTTGTCTGTCAGTGTTGTGAAAAGCTCATCTTCTTGTTGTTCTTGCTCCAGCCAAGGTCCGAGGGGCTGGGACTTCTTCGAAAATTTACAGCCCTTCTTAGAGGCATCATACATGTACTTCCGCGACAAGAAGACCTTGCAAGTCCAGGGCTGATCAGGTTCCCCTTCACAGAGATTGATCTCCATTGGACATCTGGTGCATGTCCCCGCGCTTCGTGGCACCTTGATCTCGCTCATTCCCTCGATCAAAGAGCTCTTACCGGCACTCTGGTCACCAATGACGCAGATTTTGGGTAGCACAATCATCTTGTCCTCAATTCCGAGGTGGCGTAGGTCCTGGATCTTCCGAACAAGCTCCTTCATGTCGCTGGCAATCAGATCTATGGAGTCCACATTGGGGGCTTCGGGAGGAGCCATCTTGCTAGCCTGGGAGATAGCTAAGAACTTAGATGTAAGTGATGGTTAAAAGTTGAATCGGTCAGTAATACTCACTGGGAGATATACTCTCTCGTTCAGCCGTCTGATTGCTGAATGGGGTTCGTCGTATCTCCAGGGTGAGTAATGACATAAACGGTCCGTAGGGGCCTAGGAGTTTAGAGACTTGATGAGATCGAAAGAACGTGAGTGAGGTGAGAAACAGAGAGTTACAAAGAGACGAGAAGAATCTCAGACTAATGGAGAAAAGTGTGCTATTGAAAGCCTGACTGTGTGATAGAAGTACAGAAGTTTCCAACAGACAAAGTTCAGTTGAGAAGAAAGAAGAGATTTGACGTTGGGAGGGGAGTGTTATGAAGCACTTTTTCCCAGTGAATGGTAGGGGGCAAAGGAAGGTTTTGAGTCCAAGCGAGAACTAGAGATGCAGGCCATGATCAATTTACCAACCAAAATATAGAGTGAATGGATGTGTAAACACGGCAAAAATAGAGTGAGATCTATAGAAAGATTGTGCCAGAGAGGTCAATTTAACATCTGCAGGAACCCTGACAGCAGCATGAAACGAAGCCAAATCGGGAAGATTGCTGTGTTGTCGGACATGATTGGAGGACTGGGTTAGTATCGAGAAGCAGCCACTGTTTGAAAGAAGTATGTGATGATGTCGCAGCTGAAAGTGAGTTGATCTATCCATTTTCCATGAATTACGCTCCCAACCCAGTAAGCTATAAGTTAGATTATAGTACTCCGTACACCGTAGTACCAAAGGTGAGGAAGTAAGTAGATAGATGGAGAGATGGCCCCGAGAAAAGTGGAAACCCCAGGCTGAAAGCGGTGGAGAGGAGTCAGCCAGTCAGGTGCCGCCGGCCAACCAATGGCACCTGAATCCATTAATTCAGTCCCGTGTCACTCTCTCAGGCTCTCTCTTTCTCCTGACCTGTTCCGGAGAGCGCTAAGACTTAAGGAGAGCTGGCGGTGGGCCTGGACAACAACTTACTGCTCGCTCCCCCTCGGTCTTGTCTTGCGTCTTTTCCCCTCGTTCCTTTTCCCAAAATTCTTTACAGATTTCAATCTATCAATTTGTCTGTGCTCGAGATTTGGCCTCACTTTTCATTCCTGAACACCAACCCCCCACTTATATACCCCCCACCTTTCCAATGCTTCAAGTTCCAGTGCGGGAGCACACCAACGTGGCCTCCACCAAGGCTGTGATCTTGGTATGTGACGCTAGTGACTTCTGCCTCCTATATCAATCTCGCTGACGGAAGTTTTCCTTACTTAGGTCGGAGGTCCGTCTAGAGGAACGCGCTTCAGGCCTCTGTCCCTTGACATGCCCAAGGTTGGTTGCCCCTCTCTGCCTTAGCTATCCCGCAATCCATGAACCCCTCCGCACCAACCCTCGATTTCGTCACCCGCAAGCTTGTCGCCGCTACTCACACTTGGATTTCTTGTTAGCCCCTCTTTGAAGTCGCCGGTCATCCTATTATCCACCATTGCCTGAAAGCTCTCGCCAAGATCCCCGATATTCGTGAGGTCATCCTCGTCGGCTACTACGATGAAACCGTCTTCCGCGACTTCATTAAGGACTCCGCCAAGGAGTTCCCTCAGTTCAAGATGCAATACTTGCGTGAATACACGGCTCTGGGCACCGCTGGCGGTCTCTACCATTTCCGCGATGCCATCTTGAAGGGCAAGCCCGAACGTATCTTCGTCCTCAACGCGGACGTCTGCTGCTCCTTCCCCCTTGGCGAGATGCTCAAGCTGTTCGAGGAGAAGGATGCGGAGGCCGTCATCCTTGGAACAAGAGTCAACAACGATGCCGCCACCAACTTCGGTTGCATTGTTTCCGATTCCCATACCAGGCGGGTTCTGCACTACGTTGAGAAGCCTGAGTCGCACATTTCCAACCTCATCAACTGCGGTGTCTACCTCTTCGCCACCGAGTGCATTTTCCCCTCCATCCGCAGTGCTATCAAGCGCCGTACCACCCGCCCTCGCCTGCTGTCATACCCTTCGTCCGAGAACTTGGAGTCCTCTTTCATCGCAGCGGAGGACGAGGCAGAGAAGAGCGAAGTCCTTCGTCTGGAACAGGATATCCTCTCCGATCTGGCCGACAGCAACCGTTTCTTCGTCCACGAGACGAAAGATTTCTGGCGCCAGATCAAGACGGCCGGTTCCGCCGTGCCCGCCAACGCACTTTACCTCCAGAAGGCCTTCCAGGCCGGATCTGACGAACTGACCCCTCCTTCCGCTGCCATCGTGCCCCCAGTCTACATCCACCCCTCCGCAACAGTGGACCCGACAGCGAAGTTGGGTCCCAATGTTTCCATTGGACCCCGTGTGGTCGTGGGCGCAGGCGCTCGTATCAAGGACTCGATCGTGTTGGAAGACGCCGAAATCAAGCACGATGCATGCGTGATGCACTCGATCATCGGCTGGAGCAGCCGCGTTGGTGCCTGGGCCCGTGTTGAGGGTACCCCGATCCCCACAGGCAGCCACTCGACCAGCATTGTCAAGCACGGCATCAAGGTTCAAAGCATCACCATCCTGGGCAAGGAGTGTGCCGTGGGTGACGAGGTACGGGTACAGAACTGTGTGTGCCTGCCATTTAAGGAATTGAAGCGCGTATGTAACCCCATCCATCCACATCATCTCGAAACATAAGGCTAACAATACTCTCAGGACGTCGCCAACGAGGTTATCATGTAAAAGGACCATGTGACGTTTTTTTTGGATGTGACATGCATATTCTATGATATCTGTTCTCTTTTCCTCTATCCTTGGTCCCTTTGACCATTCTGGCTACGCCCTTGTTGGCGGTCGGATTGCCGAAACTACGTGCTTAGATCTAGCTCCAACCTAGAAACGGACCATGAATGAATGAATCATGTGTCCGTGGACATCTCCCAAATAATATGCTAATATCTGTTCATAAGCTGGATTATCGTCCAAGTACTTGCTATAAGGCATTCAGGTATCTAATACTAGGCTATCCAAGTCATATAACAACCAGATCAAATGGCATTATCGCTGAAGACAAATAAAAGAAGAGTAAAAAGTTCCTGCATTACGCCCGCCAGCATATGAACCTATTCAAAAGTCAAGGAACTATACCCATTTTACAATGCAAGATCGTAACACATCAGTTCAGTTTGAAAAGCCAAGATAAGCTGACTTGGCTCTCACGCAGAGACAACACGCAGATGATTGTCCCAGGGGGGTCGCGTGACCGTTCTGCATTCGTGGAACGCGTACACCCACCCCCTACACGATCATTTACCGATACGCAGCCGGATCATAACTCGTCTGCTCCGTTGGCTGACTATAACCCGCAGTACCCCCGTAAGCACTAAACCTCACTCTTGGCTTCCGACGTCCCTGCACCGGAGCCGCATCGGAGTACTCCTCCGCCTCATCGGCATGGTGCTGCTCCAACGAGCCAGCCCCATACGCAGGAGGGGGCGGCATCCGCTGGCTGGGATGGTACAACGGCTCCGGGGCGTGCTGGTACAGGGGTTCTTGTTGGGGGTGATTGGCGTAATAGGGGTGATCGGCCTCATCGGGCGGGTAGGGACCAACGCCGCCGGACATAATGCTGCTGTCGCGGTTGTGCATCTTGTAGTCGTTGAGAGCGGTGCTACTAGCCATGGGGTCGTATTGGCCCAGGCGGGTTTGGCGGCGGTAGACGATGACGTCCAGAGCGGCGGCGGCGATGTGGGAGGTCGCGGCGACGATAGTGAAGGTGAAGAGGGCCTTGTAGATTCTGCAGACGCTGATGCCGGTGGAGGTGCCCCAGTAGGTTGTGTTGCAGGTCGTTAGGATGGTGTGGGACATGCTCCAGCTTAGGAGGCCGAGGGCGATAAGCCAGAGGATGAGGACGATGCTGTTGGTGACGAGGTTGAGGCGCGGAGAGAGGCCATAGCAGCAGTGGGTTAGGGTGGTGAGGATATAGTTCAGGAGGGAGAAAACGGTGGCTATGAGGAGCTGATGAGTTGAGATGAAGTGTTAGTGGAGTGTATAACACAGATGGTGGGTAATGTGGTTGCCTTACGATTAGGAAAGCCCACGGGAGCTTGTAGTTGTTGCTATGCAGTTGGTTGATAAAAACGGCCAAGATAATGCCCACAATGAAGGTGGAAATCAGGCCGAACAAGCGAATGGTATGGAATGGAATCGGGGGGTATTGGGAGGGCTTGACTGATGCTCTGGACCGCATGTTGGCGATGCGCTGGGATGAAGGTTATCCCAATCGCGGCGGGTGTGGGTGTGGGGTGGAATGAGATCGAGAATCCAAGTCGTCGATAAGGAATTGAGATGTCGATCCGCTGCGGAATGATTGCAGCGCGATAGATGTTAAGATATTCTCATGTACCAAATGGATGGAGGAAGGAAGGAAGAGAAACAGAAAGTAAGGGAAGTGAGAGATGACAACAAACAGGAGAAAAGTCAAAAGGCAAACGGACGAGAGTTGCCATGCAAAGAGCAAAGCCTCGCTGTGGTGGACGATCGCGACTCCACTGCGGGTGTTGCTAAAGAAAGAAGCGGTTCGGGGGAGGATGACGCCGCTGCTGATGAATCTGCCCCGGTAACTGTGCGTGGCTCGCGGTTGGCGTCTCACCTGTGGGCCAGTGTGAAGTTTAACTTGTTCTCCAGCCTCCCCCAGGCCACCCGGTTAATTTAACGTGGTAGTGATGCTGATGCTGATGCTGATGCTCCTTTTAATGATTGTTAGCCTGGTATGAGTTTATTTTGGTGGTTGTGGAGGACAGTTTGACACGTGCCTGACATCTGCCTAATTGGTCCATGGATCCACTCAGGAACCAGTGGGCATCTTCACTACTACTATTACTATTTACTACACCATGTTATCTATGAATACACCATGCGTGATCTTGAGTTCACTTATTCATGAAAGCAGAACGCTAGAGCTTGATAGATACATGCTGTTTTGCTTTTTAACTCATCGATGAATCATTCAGTGTGCTTCATAGTTACTAGTTTGGGATAACAATACTAATGAGAAGCTCTCCACATCAGGCTGTCAACGGTAGCTCCCAAATTTATCGAAAGAGCTGTTGACGCTCTAATCTAGCTGCTTCCTGTCATTCTTTCTAGGTACTCCCCCACAATACACACCTGCAGGATGCCGCCACTTCACAACATCGTGGATACAGCATTCGTATCGATCTGAAGTACTCTGCAATGGTTGTTTCTATGCATACGGTGTTGTGTCAACTCCATTCTGTCTTGTCAGGTCCTGGACATATTGAGCAATATCAGAACACTAGGACACGTTGCGCTTCCACGGTGCGAAGACGTGTCGAAGTTTAGGGCGAGCCAATGGAGGCAGTCCCTACACTGAACTTGTTGAACTGCTAGCCATCCGAGGATGCAGTCTGGCGTTTGTGGAAAATTTCTGGGGCGATTTTCAAGGTCGAAATGTATCTGACATTCTGGTAGACTCGTGGGTTTCCTCAAGTTGTTCAAGAGCTATTCTTTTGAGTCCAGAGTGACAGAGACGGCCTGGAGCTTGCCCTTGAAACTGGACGGCCTTCTACGTTTTTGCCCAAACTCCCGTCTCTCGCTGTTATACACCCGGGACGGTCCTTTTGGATAAAGTATATACTACTAGATTATGAGGTTCAAGCACGCGTCCAACAGCGCAAGGAATACAATCTTGGCCCTGTCTTGTGACACAATCGTGGCATCCTCTCTCAACCGTCCGGTTTCGATTGGTCCACTATACTATTGGGGTATGTGGAAGTTACGATTTATGCCGGCTATATCATCATGCAATCATTAGGCGCTTTGCGCGGATCTGGCATTGGGAAGCAAAGAAACAATAAGACGGGCTTTATAGCAGCTGCAGGTGAAGTGGAGGGTGCATGTGATGATCTCATCTGGCACCAGAATGGTCCGTGCATCGGTAGTGCCATGCTTGACCGCCTGTTCGCCGGTCGGCGCCAACCGATGCAGTAAACATGTCCTTACTTTCTATAATTCACTCTTCGTCTCCTCGTTTTCAGAACACTACCCTCACAAGCATGGAGTGTCTTCGTTAACCTCAACCATTCTGGGTCTATCCCACCAACACCAATCATCTCTAATACTCATTCGGCTTCTCGTGATAGACAGATGAAGATGCCGCCGCCCCGCCGCAAGAAGCCCCTTTCGCTAAGGATTCGACAATGGATTCATCGGCTTCGCACATGGCGCTCGCCGTTAAACCTACGCGGCAGCCTGACAAGACTACGGGCATTTGAGAGACACCCGGTCTGGGCTCTGGTACGCCTTTTTATCCCGTTCCCTTCGTGGAAATTCCCCGTGTCCGACGTTATGCCGGCGGCGGAAATGATCGGAAACGAAGAATTGCTTCTTCTTCGCCACGACAATATGATCGACCTGGAGAGCATACCGATTTGGCGCGTTCGCGATACCCCCTTGAGATGTTTGTATAGAATGTACGAAGCTATGGCATCTGGTGTATACGAGGTTTTAGGCACCGAAACTGAATACTTTTGGTATCAGAAGGGGTGGTCATTACAGTCGATCAGCGACCCCAGGGACGAAGATCCCGTGCGCTATGCCATCATCGCATGTCTCGTTGAGGAACTTGTCGTTGCGTTTAATTGGCGTCTAAGTCTAGGAATGCGTCGGAACCGCAAGCACATCATCCGAAAGACGGAAGACGACCCGTGGCCCCCGTATACACCGCTGATAGGTCCTGCATGGACGGGCTCTGTTCCGGCGCTCTCGGCCAGCGACTTGGACGGCCTACCCGGACGTTACATATTGGAAGGAAAACTCGTCTTAGAGGACGGCGGATTGAATAAAATCTTTGCGCGCCGCAACATCATTACGAATGTTGGCTGGCTTTATACGATCTGAACCGCAAGCCCTACGCTACCACGTTTTTTGTCTCAAAAGTAAGGGGACCATCCGCTTCACCATCTGGCGGTGTGCACGTAACTCCTTGCCAAGTACAGTTGAGAGTTCATAGCGAGCCCATTGCGCAACCCGACTGTCGGCGACAGCCCCTCAGACTACTTGGACCTGAATCATCCCGCACTTGGAGCAATTAAACCAAGTCCCTCCTGCAAGGGACTGAGATGGCTTCAGAGAAACACATCCTCGCCATAGGTTGCCTTGTAAGCAGCAGCCACACAGTTCATGGTCTCGACGTCTGGCATGACATCAAAGCCATTCTTGTTCAGCGTGCGACAGTACTCCTTATCCAGCTTACCCCCCTTCCTCTCTTTCATGAACTTGAGCATTGCAACAGCATCGGCCAGATCAAGCTCCGCTTTGCGCCCCCTCTCCGCGCAGTAGATGCGGCGCAACTTCCGCTCCAGCGCCCATTCCACAGGTGCTGCAAATACGAGCAGGGTGCCACTGGCCCAGAGGACAATGTTTTGCTTGATGGCGTCCTCCATCAGGATCTTCCGCGTCTTCTCTGTAACGAACACTCCCACATCTTCGTTGGCCCAGTCCTCCATGTAGTGAGCCTCGTTGGCGACTTCCCGGATGGACTTTTGCAACGGAACCTTGATATCCTCGTCGTTGGCCCACTCCGGGTCAAGCAGGAAGTCCATGTCCGTAGTTGTCTTTCTGTTCTTCAGGTACATCACAGAAAAAAAGCCCCCTGCCACGATCATCCGGATGGGAGCGAAGGCCATGATCATGGGATCCGTGCCGAGTTTGGCATCCAACAATCTCAACGCTAGGGAGCGCGTTATGGATTAGAAACTTCCGTTAGCCCCTGAGGTAGCACCGCGAAGAACTTACCTTTATGAAAGTCCTCCATGTCCAAATACACCTTGCGCTTTGTCATGGTTGCGCGCAGAACGGTGCTAGGACCGTTTTCTTTGGACTTGGGAGGGCAGCCGTGGTGCAATGCATGAACGGGGGGGGATGTTTGTGGTTGTCCTTTGACGGAGAACCTTGGGCGGGTTTGGGGGGGTCCCGCACCGAGATTCTGGGGTCAAAGCTGGAGGAGGGAGGGGGGAGGATCTCTTCCCTTTTAAATAAAAAAAATACTGGAACTGGCACACGGGCCGGGTTGCTTATGTCAGGTTCGTCAGGGTTGAAGTGAAGCTGGGCTTGAATGGCATTCACGATGTTGCCCTATCTCTCGCCAGGTCCCATATTGGGCTGTCTCCTGCATTTGCCTCGCATTAGTTGACACTTGTCGACTGCTTGCTCGAAGGTCGCTCGAGGACCCCGCCAAGCTGGTGAGGCGTCGAATTCCACATACCGCATCTAGACCGATCTGCGTCGGATACGTGGGTGATGCTGGATCACTGTGTATAATTCTGAACTTTTTTTTGGCTATATATCACTTGTATAGTCCAGGTTAGCGTGGGTTGCTACGCTGTACATTATAGAATATCCATCAATGTATTATAGAACGTGTACAACAAAATTGTGGATGTCTTGGTCGTGGATGAGTCCAATCCCCTCAATGCTTAACATAGACCTGGAATAAAATATTTATAATTTTCTTATCATATAGCCTACAAGCCAATATAGTAGTTATTAGTCCAAATTCATAGCGGTCAGCACACCATCAGCAGTAGCGTGATAAGCCCCGTCCCCGAGGATTTCTCCGCAGCCGAAACTGCAAAAACGCGTTATCGGGCTGCTGCCTCCGCATCGCCCTTGATACTTGAACACCTCTTTCTCTTCCATCATCCTACACCTGGTACCTTTTCCACATTCTCACGACAACACCAATCTTATTCCCCCTGTTGCATCATCAACAACTCCCCACCACCTCCCACCGGGATCCAACCCACACATAACTGACTACTACCCCTCACCCACCCCGCGCCAGCACCAATACCAACACCACCACCATGTCCACCTACGAAGGTAACTAATCCACACCTCCCAGTTGAAGGCTCTACCATCACACCCCCATAACCCAATGACTAACAACTAAATAAAACCAAAAACAGTGGAACACAACACCACCGACCCCTCCACCACAACCCCCAACAACAACAACAACAACAACACCACCACCAGCAACACAACCCCCCACCGCCACCGTCGTCCCGACCTCTCAACCTTCTTCTCCGCCCTCTCAGAAATCACCCCAGACGAAGCGCGCCATCGTCCCCATGCCGTCCCCGTCCCCCGAGACGTCAGCGCAGCATTCTATTCCCTAGCCGAGGCATTGGACGTGGTGCGCCGCGACGGCGGCGGCGGCGGAACAGCGATCCCCAGCGCGATCGGAGAAGTGGAAGGCGGCGACGAGAACGACCTCCTCACAACGATGATTCAGAGTCTGCTTAGCACGGCGGAAATGCCTCCTAGGG